GGGTTCTCAGGGAGGATTTGAACCTTTGAACATGACAGGCATGTGATGTTGTGCTCTTGAAGCACCATACACCTTTTGTTGCAACATTTCATTCTTCCTTCTTAATCTTGGATTTACTAGAAACTCGTTTAGCACCCATTCTATTTTGCATAGGCTTTTTTATTTTTTAAAAAGATTTTAAATTATGTATATGTGGGAGGTGTGTGGGTTTGTGCATTTGAGTGTGGGTAGAGGTACATGACTAGGGTGAAGGCCAAAAGAGGTAGTTGGATCTTCTGGAGGTGATGGTTTTGAGCTGCCTAATGTGTGTGCTGGGAAATAAACTCCAGTCTCCTGAAAGAGCAGCAAGTACTCCTAAATGCTGAGCCACATCTCCAGCTCGTGTGTGTGTGCATATATGCACATAATATATTTTTATGTGTATGGGCATTTTGCCTACTTGTATGCCTGGTGTCAACAGAGGCCAGAAGAGGTTATTGTGTCCCCTGGACCTAGAGGTAAGGGCAGGTTAGAGCCACTATCCATGGTGCTGGGAACCCAGCCTTGGTCCTCTGCAAAAGTAGTAAGTGTTCTTAACCACTAAAGCATCTCTCCAACCTCTATATATGTGTTTTAAAAGCTGATGAACTTACATAGTTGGAGAAATTAAGCAGTTTAAACAAAGTATTGTAATCTTTAACTTTCTAAAGTTTTTAAAAATGTTTTTACTTTGAATTTTATTTTTACTTACTGTGTTTTGTGTGTGTGTGTGCATGTGTGCATGTGCCATGGTCTCTGGGGATGGAACTCAGATCTTAAGAGTTTTAAGGCTTGCTCATCAAGCACTTTTACTTGCTGAGCCATCTCCTCAGTCTGGCTTTCTGCAGTTTTGCCAAGGAGAGTCATCTGGGGTGAGATTAGAGAGAAAATGAGCTGAAGAAACGAGTGTGTGCTGTGCAGAACTGTGTTTACACAGGATAAGATGTTGTCTATTACCTGACTTTCTAGCTCTTGAGATGAATGATTAGTAAAAGTTAAATATTTAAATGTGGGAATATAGCTGTAGTTGCTGAATTGACACCCCCTACTTCTTTTTGGTTTATTTAAAAAATTAAGGATTTGGGGTATGACTCAGTGGCAAGGTGTTAGCATGGCCCTGGGTTTGCTCCCCCAGCAAAGGAGTTGAGAGGATGGGGGTTTAGAAATTTAAATATAATTTGCAAAGAGAAAAGGCAAGGCCAGCCTAAACCTTAGTTAGAAAGCTATGTGCTTCTTAAATATTTATTAGCCTGACATGGCCTTGCTGTAGAGCCCAGTATGATTTTAACCTCAATATTCTTGCTTTAGCTTTCCATGAATTGGGATTACTGGCATGTGCCATCATACCTGGATTTTCAAACATTTTTTTTCAGTCCTGGGGATAGAACCTACACACACTAGGGAAGCACTCTACCACTGAGCTGTATCTCCAGCCCCCCCTCCCCTTTTTTTAAATACGGTATTGCCAAGTTGCCCAGACTGGCCTTAAACTTACTCCATAGATGAGGCAGGTCTTGAATGTGTGATCTTCCAGCATTAGTCTCTAGTAGTTGGGATCACAGGTCTGACTGTTCATCAAAGGAAATATGTATTAAATGGACAGAATATGTATATCTTTGTTTAAAATTGATCCATAAATTGGCCTGAAAGGCACAGAATGCATATGATCATAGCAGCCAAGATGACAGTGTTTTCTACTTTCATTGTCCAAGTTTCCTTTGCCTTTTCTCTCCCTTCATTTAAAAAATGTTCTTAAATCTGAAGAAAGAAGGGAAACTGGCAAAGTTAGAGCCTATTCCATTTATTTTGTAATGATCTGTTTTTCTCAAAGATTTAAGCAGCATTTACCAGTATGAATAAGATTAATTATTACAATACAAACCAATTTGAAAATTGGTTTTTAAATTGAGCCATAATATGTAAAATCTTATGGTAATGTGCAAATCCGACTATATTCAAGTGCAGTTTTCATACCCATACCAATTGTCTTGTAATAATCAAGAATGCATCCTCTGTGTGGTATTTGGAAGTTAATACTATTTTAGAAATCACACTGGTATATATAGTGGCTTCCCTGGGTGTATGTGGCTCATTATTGATCATAATTTTATTTTGAAATTTTAGTTTAAGCAGATAGGGTAAGCCCCTTTCAGATTTTTAGTGGTTAGAGGTGTTTTGATGGAGGATTGGGATATATGAATGAGGAGGACTGTTAGAATGAACAACATTGAAAGAAGCTCAGATAACAGTTCATCAGGTGGTAATAAAAACTAGCACAGATTCACATGGAGAACAGGAGACAAATAATTCCTGGGAGAAATGCTTTCAAAACTTAACCGTGAAACTCTCACAAGTACAAATAAATATGTGCATTATAATGAGAAGGAAGAGTCCCAGGTCTGTGGATGAAGGGGTTTTGGTTGAGTTCTAGACCCAGTGGTGCTGACTGTGCATTGTGCAGAGGGCTTCAGTATGCTTAGCATGTGTGAGTTCTGCCTCCTCTGATAGCTGTCTTTCAGGCTTACTCTGTTTCCCTCCATCGCATTCTTTTTGTATGTACTTTCATCTTTTCTGCCTCTCATATATCTCAAATTGAAATCTCCTTCAGAATGACACTCCTTTTTTACTCATCAGCTTTAACCAAATACTTAATAAATGCACCATAGCTCTAAAGAAAAACTAATAGTTAGGAAGTCTTAACAGCAAGTTTCTTTATATTAGGAATCTTTTTTTTTTTTTTTTTTTTTTTTTTTTTTTTTTTTTGGATATTCAAGACAGGGTTTCTCAGTATCTATGGAACTAGTCCTAGAACTCGCTCTATACACCAGGCTGGCCTTGAATTCACACAGATCAGCCTACCTCTGCCTCCTGAGTGCTGGGATTAAAGGCATGCACCACCACTGCCCATCTTATATTAGAAAATTTTAATGTATAGGGATTTAATGCTGATGGAATGTTGTTAGACTATAAGTTCCATGAAGGAAAAGTTTTTTTTTTTTTGATGCCAGTTTGCTAAGAGCTTTGGCTATCATGGTATTCACTCTGTAAACTTAAACTGATCATAAACTATAGGCAATCATCCTACCTCGGTCTTTCAAGGTCTGGGTTGAAGTTCTCCATCCCCACTTTGTGAAATAGGGATGATGAAGGCAGGAGGAGAGTTCTAGGAAGCAGTAGGTATGAATTCTAGTCTCTACTTTCTGTGCTATTTTCTAAATTCATGAGCATGAACAGACAAGTACCGAACTGTAAAATGAGGAAAATAACCTGTAAGCAGGAGTCTAGATTGGATCATATTTGGAGCTTAGCAACTGTTATTATATAGGCAGTTTGAGTAGGGAACACTGTATCTTGCATCCTGTTGCTAATTTCTGCTAATTATTTAAAGAAATAAAAGAACCAGCCAGGCCGTGGTGCTGCATGCCTTTAATCCCAGCACTCAGGAGGGAGAGGCAGGCAGATCTCTGTGAGTTCGAGGCTAGCCTGGTCTACAAGAGCGAGCTCCAGGACAGGCCCCAAAGCTACAGAGAAACCCTGTCTTGACCCGCCCCCCACCCCCATAACCAGAACATTGTCTCACATGCTGTGAATAAATGACTTCTCTATTTTAAAATCTATCTTCATTGAGTGTGGTTGGGTACTATCATAGTGCTCAAGCTAATGGACAAAACTTCACCCGGGGTACTTTTAGAGAAACATGACGGATGTAGGCTCCATTCTGTCATACATAGTATCTTATGAAACTAAACAGAGATCAGGGAGATGGTTCAGTCAGTAAAGAAAGTGCTCACCAGGCAAACGTGAGGACCTGAGTTCCAGCTCTCGCATCCCTGTTTAAAAACAAACAACCTGAGCATGTGCTCTTATAAGGCAAAGACAGGAGGATCCCTTGCTCTTGCTGGTCAGCCAGCCTAGTCTAGTCAGCAAGTCCCAGATGAGACTTCATCTCGGGGAAAAAGGTGGATGACTCCTGAGGAACAACACCTGAGGTTGACCCCTGATTGCCCCCCCACACACACATACACACCTGCAAACGACTCTCTCCTAGCCTCAAAGCACAATGTTTAGTGTCATTAGAGCTGGTAGTTTTTTGCCTACTGAATACACTATTCGCTCACATAATTTCTTTGCTGAAGGTTTTAGTACCTCAGCTTTCAGAGTCCCTTCTCTTCTTCCCGTTATTTTGTTTCTGTTTGAATTGCTTCTTGTCCTGGCCCCTTTAATCCATCTGGAAAGATGAAGAGGCAGCTGCTATGGTTAACTGTGCATTTTGGTTCATGAATAACAGACTTACCCAGCTACATAAAGCATATGCAAACTGTGCAGAGTTAGCTGCTGTTGGGGCCGTAGGGATACAATGCTTTTTCTTTTCTTTTTTAAAAAAAGTTCTCCCCTGTCTCAAAAAACCAAAAAAAAAAAGTTTTTATGGTTTTCATGTGGTATTTTGTTTTCTATTTTACCATTCTTCATATAGTAATGCTACCACAAAGTTCTCTTTTTTCTGCTTAGTCTGTATTATGATGAATTTATAGAAGGTGGGTAAGGTCCAAAAAGGAAATGGATCAGTCATTTCTGTTTAAGAAGTAATTTTCCTAGTTAGGGTATAATCGTAGAAAATGGGGACAGCTTTTGTTTTTGGAACTCTAACTTGTTTTCTCTTTCTTGCCTTTTGGCTACTAGGGCTCCTTTTGAGTTTCTCTGGGGTTAGAATCACTATATATTATGTTTCTTGAATATGTTTCTTTCATAGCTGGGCGTAGTGACACTTGGGAGGCAGAGGCAAGCAGAGTGCAGCCTGGTCTACACAGCGAGCTCTAGGCAAGCTAAGGCTAATAGTGAGACTGCACCTTACCCTCTCCCAGTGTTTCTATCATAAAAGCCAGCTACAACTTGAATATTGCATTCAACCAACCCTTGAAAATTCCTGTAATCTGCCATCCTGTCTCATACTGTCCCATCTCATAGTTGTCCTCTCTCTGCAGTGCTCTATGCCCAGGTCTCTGTGGCTGGGCTGCTCCAGCCTAGCGGACAGCATGCCTTCGCTGCGATGCCTGTATAACCCAGGGACTGGCGCACTCACAGCTTTCCAGGTACTTTCTCTGTCTCTGTGGGTTGTTGGTGGGGCGTATGTATCTAATTCATTAGTATGTCTTTCTTTCTTTCCAGTGCTTTACTTACATCCACCTCTTCTCCATTATATAGCCTGTACTTCACATCACTCAGTATTTCTTTAATGACTTACTTTTAATGTAGACCCAAACTTAATCTATTTTTAAAACATCTTTATCATAATTGGCTTGTCAAAATGGACATAGCACAGCTTGATGGTGGGTTTCAGATCTTAAAGAAGTATGATACTAATTTTTAAAATAATCTAAATAGCAATTCATATTGTACTGTTTACTCTGGACCTTCATAAGATCAAATCATGTGATTAGATGATTGAAATTAAATGTACACACATTTTATGTTTTTCATATGATAACTGCTATGTTGAGAATGCTTGAGTTACTATGTTACTATCCATGCGTGTATAATTTATCAGAACTATTTGTTACTTGTATCTTAAAGATGGTTTCTAGTTTCAGAGTGGGAAAGCTGTAGATACTTTGTTCATTTTGAGACAGTCCAGTTGTCTTACATGATTGATGGGCTCTAGCTCCTCTCAGTCTTTCTTAGAGGCCAAGAGGTCAGTTCCATGATGTAAGAGAAGCTATAGAAAAAGAGGATGGAACGTTGGAGAGGAAAATGAAAGAACTTGGTGCTCAGAGCTTATGGATTAGGGTATCATGCACGCTTGTTTTCTTAGTGGAAGTGTTGTCTATTCACTTCAGGTATTCGGAATTTGTGTTTAACATTTTATAATAATATTAAAAATAGTCCTTTTTTCCTTTTAGGTATATTTTAGTTTTATTTATGTGTATGCAGGTGCCTAAGGAGGCCAGAAGGGAGGGTCAGATTCCCTGAAGCTGTTGTGTCTGACAGGCAATTGTAAACCACCAGACATGGGTTCTGAGACCCAAACTCAGGTCATCTGGAAAGAGCATTAAGCTATTCAGCTCCTTAAATTGTTTTTTTTTTTAATTTGTGTGTGTGAGAAAGTGTGTTGTGTGTGTGTGACAGGACTAAGCTCTGTAGAACAAACAGGCTTACCCCAAAGCTGAAATTATAGGAGCGGGCCACATGCCCAGCTATTTACCTAGTTGTTTTTGTTTGATACAGGGTCTCAGGTAGACTGGGCTAGCCACAAACTTACTAGTAGCCAAGAATTTCTGACTTTGCCCCCACCTCCCAAGTGCTGGGATTATAAGTGGTTACCACCTCACATCAGAAAACCTGTTTTAAATAAGTTTTTAGGGACTGGAGAGATGACTCAAATTAAAAGCACTTACTACTCTCACAGAGGACCCAATTTTTGTTTTGTTTTTTAAAGATTTGTTTAATATGTACACAGTGTTCTGCCTGCATAGCAGAAGAGGGCACCAGATTTCATGATAGTTGGTTGTGAGCACTGAAATTGAACTCAGAACCCTGAATAAGTAGCCAGTCCTCTTAACCTCTGAGCCATCTCCAGTCCTTACCTAGTTGTTTTTAACCTATGCAGTTGATTATCTGTTCAGAGGAAATTCATAGACAAGCTGTAATTAAATATGAAAGTACCCATGGTTGAGTCTTAAGGAAAGGAAGTAAGTGCTGACAGTTAGTCTTCAGTGATACTATTTTATCAATGATCCTGCTGGAGACTTTAATTTTCCTTTGTACAGTTTAATGTCAATCTTCCTTTACTTATACTCTAAAACTGTAAAGCATGTTGACTCTAAATATAGGTAAATCCTTTTAAATACATTGTCACTGTTTTAGTTAGGATTTGTATTACTGTAAAGAGGTATATCATCACAGTAATTTTTAAGGTTTATTTATTTATTATGAATAATATTCTGTCTGTATGTTTGCCTGCACGCCAAAAGAAGGCATCAGATCTCATTACAGATGGTTGTGAGCCACCATGTGGTTGCTGGCAATTGAACTCAGGACCTTTGGAAGAGCAGTCAATGCTCTTATCCTCTGATCTACCTCTCCAGCTCTGACCACAACAATTCTTATAAAGAAAAATATTTAGCTGAGGCTGACTTACTGTTGTTTAGTCTGTTTTTGTCATGGCAGGAAGCATGGTGGCACACAGGCAATGTGGTACTGGAGAGTTTCCTGAGAGTTCTACATCCGGGTCAGCAGATAACAGGGTGAGAGTGAAACTGAGCCTGGCTTGAATATTTGGAACCTCAAAGCCCACCCCCAGTGGCACACTTCCTCTAACAAAGCCACACCTCCTAATAGTGCCACACTCCCTGTGGGCCTGTGGAGGTCATTTTCATTCAAACCAGAGTCACTCACTAGTAGTATGATCTTGAATAAATTGTTTTACTCTGATGCTCTTTTTTAAAATCTGTTAAGTGGTGACTGTGGACATGAACGAACACATGGTAATAGTTGTTGCTTCTCATCATCATCATCATATACATTGTTGCTTTGTTAGAGAGTATATATAATAATCTGAGAGTGTTAGTTCATCTCAGAATGAATTGTCTTATTAAGTTTGTTTTTGTTCATTTTTTTAAACGATGTGTCCTGCTGAGGAAAGTACTGACCTAAGAAGAACTGAGTCCAAACTATTGCTGATTTTGAGTTTTCTGGTTTTGTTTTGTTATTGTTTTGTTTTAGACAGAATATCGTTTTATAGCCCAGGTTGACATGGAACTTTAGTGCATCCTGCCTCAGCCTTCTGAGCCCTGGAGTTATAGGTGTGTATCACCAAGCCCTGCTTGATCCTTTTGGTTTTTAGATGGTTTCAATGAGTTTGACTAGCCTGCAAAGTCTCAGGGAATAGGCTCTTCAAGATTGGCCTCGCTTTAGATGCATTTAGGGGCTCCACAGTCACTCTCGGGTTTGATAATTTATTTGAAAGTATTCAAAGAATTTTCTGAAAACAGTGATACAGTTTATTAACAGGAAAAGGATACAGGTTAAACTTATCCAAAGGAGACATCCAAGGGCCAGAGAGATGGCTCAGTGGGTAAGGATTAGGAACTTGAATTCAATTCTTGGATCTTTCAAGGTAGCAGAAGAGAACTTACTCCCCCAGTCCTCGGTTGTGTACACACATGCACAAATACAGACTCACAAATATTTTATTTTATGTATATGGGTGTATGTCTGTGTACCACATGCATACAGTGCTTGCAGAGGCCAGAAGAAATTGTTGGTTCCCCTTGGACAGGAGTTACAGATAGTAGTGGGTCATCATGTGGGTACTGGGAATGAAACCCAGTGCTCTTAACCATTGAACCATCTTTCTAGCCCTAAATAAATAATTTTTAAATAATACTTAATTAAAAAACAAATAAACAAACAAAACCCGGAAGAGACATATAGGAAAGGATCTTGGAGGAATTGCAATGTAGAAGTTTTGATCACTCTTTATTTGTGGAACCATGGATGGTATTATAGTCTCCCAGCCACAGTGTATGGTGATCTATACCAATCTTCAAAGTCATATTTATTGTGACTTATTCACTTACTACCTGCATGGCTGGCTTTTAGTCTCCATCCCATCCCTGTAGGCCACACTAAGCCTATCTCCTCTTGGCATTGAAACTGATACAGTGTGACTTCAAGCACTCAATGTAGATTGTATTTCTAGTATCTAAAGTTCCCAAGCAAACAGAGACCCTTCTGTCAGCAAGAGGTCAAGAAACCTAGAGACCATCTCTTGGTAACCAAGGGCAAAGGCCAAATTTCTTTTTGAATAAGGTTAATTCTTCACTACATAGGTGTCATAACCTGTTCTGTGAATGTGATGAGACCAATTTATCTTTGTATATATAGAAGCCCAAATTTCATAGTTTTATATGTATTTATGTTTACATATGTGTCATATTTTATATGTTATTTTTATATTTATATGCCATTGTGAAATGAGCAAGAGAGCTATGAAGCCACATCATCTCAAAAGCATAATCTCCCCAAACTGATTGATTCTATAAAGAATGTGTAGAAAAATTGTAGATTGTTAACGAGAGGGACCTGCCTAGAGTTAGAGCTAAGTGGTAAGGGCATCTGCTTGGTGTGCAAAGGGCCCTACATTCTATCTGTAGCACCATAAATAAAACAAGGTAATCATGGTCTAACTTCAGAGTTGGGGTAAGAAGGATCAGGTAACCTGTGTTGAGAATCTAAACAAGTGGAAATCATTTAAACAGAGAGTTAGACTGAGGACAGGTATGGCTCGGTGNCCACACACACACACACACACACACACACACACACACACACACACACAAGACACAACTATTTCAGAGACTACAGAGGAAACAGGAGAAACTTACTGAGAAAGGCCTAAGGAAGCTATTGATCACCTAATCACTTAGGACTCGGCATCATGGACAAAGGTGCTGGAAGGATTTGAGCACAAATTTGACCTGGCTGGATGTGTGACACTGTGGTTATAGAAAGATTGTTTCAGTAACTTATCATTTTTGTTGCTTGGTTTTTTGTTTTGAGGTAAGGTCTTATGTAGCCCTTACCTATACCAATCCTCATACCTCTTCCTCCAGAGTGCTGAGATTATAGGCTGTGCCACCACACACACAGTTTTACTGAGGGGAAGGAGAAGGAGTGGATGTGGGGGAGAGGGGAGGTAGGAGAGGAACTAGGAGATGATTAGGCTACAATATATGAGAAAAAAAATAAATAGAAAAAAAGGCAAAAAAATTTTGAGAGACCGAAAACTAATTTTAATATTTCTATGATATTTATTGTTCGAAATGAGAGTAGAAAAATACTATTAATTTCTTTAACTAACTGTAATAAACCTCCAGGATGTGAAAGTATACAACTGTAATTTCAACAGTCTGGAGGAGGAGGCCGGAGGATCTTAAATTCAAGGTCAGTCTGGCTACAGGTCAAGTTTGAAGCCAGCCTGGCCTACATAGATAACCCCCATAACAACAATAACAACAACAACAACAACACAATAATGGATAGGACTTTTATTTTCTTTTTCAAGATAAGGTTTCTCTGCATCACCTGGCTG